CAGTAGATTCATTCTGTGATACAAAGGTAAGGCATAGGTAAATCATCATAGACAAACTGTAATTTAGCACAGGTGGACAAGGACCCTTCTTTTCTACCAGTACATCGGGCTATCTCTGCTGCTCAGACAGAAATATGGTGCATTTATTCTGCTAGTATTACCCATATCTGTCTTTGCCAGCCTAGAGAAAGGAAGGGAGGCAGGTGATCTGTGGACTCGCTAGAGTAGCTGCAGAGCACAGAGCAACTTGAATGACCTGGACACCTCCACAGAGAGGTATGGAAGATAAGAGGAGTGACTCAGAGTCCTTTTGAAGCTAGGAGCCATCCACACAAGTAATACCCAGTTATCCCTTGGAAGCTAAGCAAATGACAAAACAGGTGGGATAGGATTTGATGGGATTTGAGCCCAGTTGACTCACTGAATGATTATCCCAGATATAAGAGATGTGTCAACTGCAAGAACCTATTACAGACTGCACATTTCTGTTTTAACAGCAGCTAAGGCAAGAGCTGCTATTTAGACAATGGCTCTAATGCTAGGCAGTCTAGGAAAATCTGAAAAATGTGTGTGCAAGAGCACAGATTCAATGGAATTAATTGGCTTCATTGCATCTTCTAGTGGCTCCAACTAACTTTGGTTTCACAAACTATAAAGTACTTATTTCTCTCTTTTACCTATGAGGCCTCCATCTAAATACCCCTCTTTCTTCCCTAATGACTAGCATCACCTGAATTGTACTACTGTCAGCTAACTTTTTTTCAGAGATTGTCTAACTATTAAAAATCTAATTAATCTCTCGGCAATTGTCCTCAACTTGTATTTAGCTTTAAAGCTTGGGGCTTATATTTTTGGTGCTTGAAATCTTACCTAATTTTTTCAACTATTTTAATACTATAAAAGCTATTACTTCTACCTACAACTTAGTCTTCTGAATACATATATAGTCACTGAATTATACTGAGATCTTACACTGCATTTTCTACGTATACTAGCAGCAAAGATAGGAAGCAAACTAAATACTAGAATTGTATTTCTTTGATATTATTTGTTTTATTCCAGATACATTTCAGTGTCCCTTACCAGTTACAATCTTTGGTTGCATAAATATTTCTTTTTTTCCTCATTTATTGTTTGATAAATGATTGAAACTTAATTATGTGAAATTATCAGAACTGTACAAGCTATTTCCCTGTAGTTTATGCAAAACTTCCTGAAAAGTACAGCTCTCATGTTTCAGCAGAGAATTAAACATCATTGCAGCAAGAAGTAGTGTGTGACAGAATCTGATTTATATTACCATAGCATTTCCTATCTTACTATTTCAGCTGATTAGGAAATTTATTTCCCACTAGTACTTGATTTGATGTCATTTAAGTGACTAAAATTCAAATTTCAACAAGAGGACAAATTTTGCCTTCAAGGAAAGTTTCATTTACCTTTGATAAACCTAAAGTCCTAGAAATGAAGGAGATTTGTGAGATACTGTTTACTCATAAAATATTTTTCATAATCAAGAATGCAAATGATAAAGTAATAAGAGAACTGATAACACCACTGAGTAAACAAATCAATATTAAGCTTTATTTCACACATCTATACTCTATTCCTAATGTACAATATATGCATATCAGTATGTTATCTAAGCATAGAGGTTGTCATTTGGTACAATCTGTTCTATTCCAAAGGTAAAACTATACAATTTTATAGGACAGAAGAGATTAATCATTCTGGTAGAGATAATACAGCAATAGCCAAACAGAAAGTAGTTTCACAAGAAGCAGAAAAAAGAATCACAAATTACATTTTTATTTAGCAGTTTAACAAGCAGCCACCTCCAAGTGCCTAGCACACCAATGGGACTACCTTATGATACATCTCTCTCCTCATACCCATTCCTCAAAAAGTTACCTGATTGCATAGATTAAAAAAGAAAATCAAGCAAGCAAAAGACATCTTTTGTATTCATGATTATGAGGTATTTTAAGTGTACTTCAATTGACAACAGGTGAGAAGAAAGGAAAGAAAGGACGTGAAGTATGGTATTAAAAATCTTCATAACCTCAGCTGGGACTTTAAAGCCATGCTAGCAAAAGCCAGGGATAGGAAATTGCATGCTTATTTAAAACATTAAAGCTTTGAAATTTCAGCTGAAACAAACCCTTTGGGTTCAAATTCCCTTTAATGGCATCTCTTTTAGGCTGTAAAGGGATAAGCTTAGGGACTAATCATGTCCTTTTAACCTTCTGGTTGCCAGTCAGATTATGGAAGCAGGCCAAATCATGCAAGCACTTTCACAGCATAAAAATGAAACAGCAAGCTGCACATGGGTCAGGCAATGCAAAAGCACCCAAGTGTCCAAGTGGCAGCAGTAGGCAAAGGGTCCATTGCAGAGATTAAGAACTGAGGTTCCCTGGATACTGGTAGACCGTGCCGCTATGTCAAATGGTCTGTATTTGCTTTACAACAGTACCATGTTAAATAGTAAAATCTTTGCACCCATAAGTGCAAAATAAAAGCTTGATATTAAGGACATGTCAACATCATTGGGGCAATTTGAAGTCCGACAGTGATCCATTTATTTAAAAAATCTAGATCTGGCAGTGGTTTTCAAATCTGCACTGTGCTGGTCCAAGCAAGACCACAGAGGTCCAGCAGTTACCTTTGCAGAATCTGTGAAAGAACTAGGCACGGCACATCAGAACTTTCTTAAAAAAACTAAAATTTTTACTGCTTTAAGGAATCCAGGGGGTCCATAAATTGTGAAGGACAGAAAACCACTGATTTGGAGTGGATCTAGAGGATGGACTGAACACACACTGGGAACAAAAGAGAAGCAGCTCATTATTCTACTATAAAAAGTTGGATACAGAAACAAGCTAAGAAGGGAAAATTAATTTTTAAAAAACAAATCCAGGCTTCCATGAGAGTTATGAGATCTCATTTTTATACATATTTCTATAACTATTCTGTGTCACACTGTTTTGAAACATATGCAAAGAGGTACCTTTACATCGTAAAAGGGGCACAGTTCCCTTTTACCCAAGTGACTATGATGTAACTTTCAGGTATGGCAAGTAGTTGAAGGAGCCACACTGAATCCACACAGGATATATCAAATCTCTCTTTGGACTCATATTCATCCTATTTCATTAGCAAACCTAGGCCATGGCATTCCCTACCCTGACCTTTTGACTGTCCACTGCTTTGTGTTAAAGCAGGACTTACACAGCTAGAAAAGTCCAAGTATGACTCTGAGTAACCCAACTCCCTAATATAGCCTTCCTCAAGCTGTTACACTAAGTGTCTGCATAATGACTCAGCTGAAAGATTATAAAACTACCCCAATTCACAAAAATGGCAATAAAAAATCTTTGAGAAAAAAATAAAACCCTATTCAAAAAATCAATACTCAAAACCTACCAAATTAGTCTTATAAAATTATACTTTACTACTATTAAGTGAACCTCTCAACAAGGAATAGAACTTAGTTACAAAGCTACAACTGAATCAATACCCAAACTTTCACAGCTAATCAGTTTGTGTCTGCAGTAATGCAAGCCTCTCCTTCCTTTAGAAAGCACATGGAAGCGAGCTTGAAGACTGTCATTTTCTTCTTCAAATGAAGTTTTGGGACATACTGTCTAAGACAACTGACTCAGCAGGTCAGAGCCCTGGTTCATATATACAGTGTGGACACAGGATCATAAGATCATTGGATAAGCCAAGCTAAGCGGGAGCTCGGGAAGTGTCTAGTCCAACCTCCTGCTCACAGCAGGGCTAGCTGCATGGTCAGACCAGGGTGCTCAGGGCTGTGTCCACTCGGGTGTGGAAACGTGCCCCGGACAGAGCGGGCACGGCCTCGTGGGCAGCCTGCGCCTCTGCCCCCCTGCCCTGTGGGGAGAAAGTTCCTCCCTGTAGCCAGCCTGCACCTCTCCTGTTGCAACTTCTGTCTGTTGTCTCATGTCCTAACACCACATGGCACTCTGAATAGACTGGCTCTACCTTCCTGATTCCCCCCCTGTCCCGTAGGTACCGGGGGGCTGTTGTTGGCTCTTCCCAGAGCCGTCTCTTCTCCAGGGCTGAACCACTTGCTCAGTCCGTTTGCAGGGCAAGAGCTTCAGCCTCCAACCTCCCTGGGGGCCAGGCCCCACACTCAACTTGCTCCAGCCTGCAAATGTCTTTCTTCACATTTTATTAATGTGAAATTCCCTTTTTGAAGTCACCTGGGATTTTATTTGGCTCTTAACTAACTTGAAATATTTGACCAATAACTATGGAATTTGAACTAAAAATCACAAATGCAGAAATACTGAAAAATGTAACTGTAAGCTAAGTGAGGATACCCGTTACCCCGATTCAGGGAATGTCATGGCTCCATTCTTTAAATCACACCAAATAAAAATCCCTTTTGAGTGCCTTCGTCACTTACAATATCTGCCATATACATTAATCATTTAAACTATTATGCCAAGGTCAAAAATAAGGTGAACACCCAGCTTTACTGCACAAAGATGAATGCCTGAGCTGCTTATGCTCTTTGCTATTACTTCTTATTCAGCCTGATCCTTTCAGTGGGTCCTATATTGTAATTCTGTGCAAAATCAGCAACATTCAATATTGGCAGCATTACACAGAGCTCATTAGCCACTCACAAAAGCACAGAGCACACATCAAAGACAGAAAGAAAGAACCTGAGTTTCTATATTTTGCTTTCAAGACACTACTCTATGACTTGGCCTAGATTTGGTCTACGAGCTTTTGCCTGGCACAGTTCCACTCACTTTTAAATTTGTTCCACCCTCAACTACATCTACTGGTACACAGCAGTAAATAAGGTGTGAGCCTACACAAGTTCATGGATTTTACCAACAGAAAACTCAGGAACCATGAGGTTGGCACCAGCTCTCCTATGTCTGGAACAGCTTCCCAGTCATTGTATGTTGAACCAAACATGTTCTCAGGCCACAGAACACCTGTCTCACGCAGCATAAACCCACCTGCACCACCATCGTCATGTGTGATGTCCCAAATTCGCAGCTGTCCTGTCTCTGCAGCTGTACCAGCTTAGCTCAGGTCCTAGATGACAGACTAAAGAAACACAAGCTCTCAGGCACTGAATGTATTTGCTTGTGGAATGTAATCTCTGTATTCACCATATTAAATTATCAATAAATTGAGAGATGGAACTTGTTTTCAGAACTGTGTACTGATACCTTCTTTACTTTATGCACAGATACATCACATTCTGTTTGTTCCAAAATATATTACAGAACTATAACAAAAAGCAAGAGGGAGCTAAAAAAAGACTGTGGAAACAAAAATAGGAAGAAGCTTTATAAGACTTGAAGAAAAGGTGTTTAAAAGGTGATTGACTAATAAAGTTTTTTCGTTTCTTCCTAGAAGAAAAAATTGGAATATGTATACAGGAAAATAAAAGTTGAATATTCCAGTCTTTATTTTTGCTTTTATTTGCTTGCATTCTCCAGTTTGTCTGTTTTTCTACTAAAAAACAGCTAGGGTTTTTTAGCCTAAATTGAGTAAGGTGATAACTGTCCTTTATGACTAAAGTGACAAAATCTGCTTCTAAGCTATTTTAGCACTTTAGTTTGCGTAAATCCATTTTCTAGTGAAAATCAGTACTACAAATGGAAGCAGATATTGGCTATTTAGCCAAATATAATTATTTTGGACACATTTATCCATTTACATTATTAGTATTCATATTCAGTAATTACAAAAGATCCTGGGTTATCTATGTTTACAGGTAAAATAAGTAGACTATTTTAAATCTCTCATGTCATGCAATCTATCTGCTTTCTCTATAAACAGAAAGTAATTCTTTTTATTGAAAATAATCACTTTATAAGCACAATCTAATTTAAAATGTGTAAAAGCAGCATGTGAATCTTTATGCATTTATTCTAGCTTGCTTTTTTTTTTTTTTTTTCAGTTTTTATCTTTTAGATGTTACAAAGACTAAAAAGCAGGAGCTTCTTTTAGAAATAAGAAAGTGAAAACTGTGAGATAATAATATAGCCCAGCAACCCTGGAACTGAAATTCAAAATGCACAGTACTAATGGGAATTCTGAAGCCAGCTCACACAATGCAAATCAGAGTATTGATCAGCTATCAACCACAACTCATGAAACAAATTCTGTAAAGGTCTCTAGATGTTTTTTGCCTCAGTCTTCACCAGCAAGTGCTCCAACCACACCACCCAAGACGCAGAAAGCAAAGGCAGGGACTGCGAGAAGGAAGAATCGCCCACTGTAGGAGAAGATCAGGTTCAAGAACATCTAAGGAACTTGAAGGTGTACCAGTCCATGGGACCTGATGAGATGCATCCGCAGCTCCTGAGGGAACTGGCGGATGAAGTGGCCACTATCCATCATATTGGAGAAGTCATGGCAGTCCGGTTAAGTTCCCGTTGATTGGAAAAGGAAAAACATAACCCCCATTTTTGAAAAGGGAAATAAAGAGGACCCAGGGTACTACAGACCAGTCAGTATCACCTCTGTGCCCGGCAAGATCACAGAACAGATCCTCCTGGAAAATATGCTAGGGTACATGGAAAATAAGTTGGTGACTGGTGGCTTCACTGAGGGCAAATCATACCTGACAAACCTGGTGGCCTTCTACAATGGGGTTACAGTGTTGGTGGACAACGGAAGAGCAACTGACATCATCTACCTGGACTTATGCAAAGCTTCTGACACTGTCCCTCACAACATCCTTGTCTCTAATTGGAGAGACATGGACTTAATGGATGCACCACTCCGTGGATAAGGAATTGGCTGGGCAGTTGCACTCAAATACTTGCAGTTAATGGCTCAAAGTCCAAGTGGAGACCAGTGACAAGTGGCACTCCTCAGGGTTTGGTGCTGGGACTGGCGTTGTTTAACATCTTTGTTAGCGACATGGACAGTGGGATTGAGTGCACCCTCAGTACGTTTGCCAAAGACACCGAGCTGTGTGGTGTGGTCGACACACTGGAGGGAAGGGATGCCATCCAGAGGGACGTGGACAGGCTTGAGAAGTGGGCCCATGCAAACCCCATGGAGTTCAATAAGGCCAAGCGCAAGGTCCCGAACATGGGTCGAGGCAATCCCAAGTGCAGACACAGGCTGGGCGATGAGTGGATTGAGAGCAGCCCTGTGGAGAAGGGCTTGGGGGTATGACGGGCTTGGGATGGAAAACTGACCGTGAGCCAGCAATGTGCGCTCACAGCCCAGAGAGCCAACCGTGCCCTGGGCTGCATCAAGCGTGGCCAGCAGGATGAGGGAGGGGATTCTTCCTCTCTGCTCCACTCTCCAGGGGTCCCACCTGGAGTCCTGTGCTCAGCCTGACATAGACCTGCTCAAGTGGGTCTAGAAGAGGGCCACGAAGGTGGTCAGGGGGCTGGAGTGCCTGCCTCATGACAGGCTGAGAGAGTTGGGGTTGTTCAGCCTAGAGCAGAGAAGGCTCTGGGGAGACCTTACAGCGGCCTTCCAGTACGTAAAGGAGCCTACAGGAAAGCTGGGGAGGGCCTCTTTATCAAGGAGTGTAGAGATAGGACAAGGGGTAACAGTTACAAACTGAAAGAGAGTAGATTTAGATTAAATACAAGGAAGATATTTTTCACTGTGAGGGTGGTGAGGCACTGGCACAGGGTGCCCAGAGAAGCTGTGGCTGCCCCCTCCCTGGAAGGGTTCAAGGCCAGGCTGGACGGGGCTCTGAGCAACCTGGGCTGGGAGAAGGTGTCCCTGCTCATGGCAGGGGGTTGGAACTAGGTGATCTTTAAGGCCCCTTCCAACCCAAACCATTCTGTGATTCTATGATTCTGTTTTTCCAAAGACTGAATGTGTAAAAGCAGAGTAAAAGGTATGCTCTCTGTCATCTACTGCAAAGGAGAGGCATGATTAAACACTTCAGTGCTGCGTGCCAGATAAATTCAGCTTCCTAACAAAAACCAAACATGAACAAGATCAAAAATGTTAAGAAATATCTTCATTTACAAACACTAGGCTGCTGGTTCTTCAGTTCTTGTGTGCAAAATTTTGAATAAAACAGTGGTAGGCACTTGGTGTGGAGGTATATAAGCACAAACAATGCTGGAGTGCTTTGGCTACCATTTACACTCACATCATCCAGCTTAACTAGCAATCTGTTACTTGATTTAGTCAGAGGTAAAAACTCCAGCCTAGACACACACTTAATGTAGGCAGTGACCAACTGTCACGAGACCAAACAAATGCCCTTATCTACACTACATGCTCAGTTAATCACATTAATTAGCAGGTTCTAACAACTGTAATTTTCCACTGTATAAGAGTCCAATGATTGTAAGATCAAACAATAACAGAAACAACATGAATCAGATATTTGAAAGAAGTCTTAAGTAATATACATTTTAGATATGAAATCAGATCTATTTGCTCCACAACTAAGATGTCTGAGCAACGCTTTCCCTCTGACCTAGAAAATGCTTCTTGTTCTATAAAACATACAAACTCAAAGGAGTAGGAGTTATCATTCTGTTTACTGTCAGAGACCTATGACCAGTTTTTTCAAACACACTCAAATAATGAGAGGGCCTAACTCTGAAAAGTCCTTAGATATCTACACTGTGTAGTTGTATTTGAAAATCTCAGTGTATTACAGAAGTACAAAAAGATGTTAAGTGCCCAACTTGGTAGAACTTAAGCACCTAGAACTAAAAAGTAATTGTGAAAGCCACAAACTTAACTCTTGCTACCTGTCCATCAACCCTGGCAGCACAGTTTTAAATCAGTGGCCCAGACACTTGCCTGGAAAGTGGGGCATCCTGGGTGCCAGGCCCCTCCACCAGCAGGAGACTTTTTTTGATGCCATTAGAAAGGTCCATACAAGGGGGCTTTGGAAGAAATGGAGTTTTGGTTCCCTGAGTGCCCCAGCCACAAGGTGAGAGTGTTTATACGGCCAACAGGAACAACCGCTTCAGCACAGCTGTGGCCCTATGCTATCACTATGCTCATCTGGTCTGCCACTGCCTTTTGAAATCTGCTTTGACAACTATGACCTAAGGAACACTAAAAAAACATGGGTCACCATTAGGATGTCTTTTACACTGAAGACCTTTGTACAACTTAAATTACCCTGCCAAGAAGAAATACAAATCAGCTCCTCCTAAGGTCTCTGTCGCTGTAACCAACAAGGTCACAGTATCTGAGCTGTCACATTTAAAGACAGTTCCAGCATCTCTACACTAATTTTCAGTGACGTAGGGGTTCAGGTGGACTCTCAGACAGTTACAATATAATTATATTCAATGACATGGGCAGAAAAATCAGTGTATGAGGTTTAGATTATTCTACGTTGGCAAACCAATCAGGCCATAATTGTATCGTAGCTATTATTAGGACATTAATAATGGAATTAAAATTTTCGTGGGTCTTGGGAATCCCACAAAAATAAGTACACTGGTTAGTGTGATGCTGTACCAAACATGTCAACAATAGTTTCAAATGCTAGATACAAAAAAGGGACAGTCAAGCACTATTTCATAGAGAATGGAAAACATAGTTCAAAAATACTTTTGGTATCCCACAAAGGCAAACTTTTTTGCCCATTAATGGATGTCACAGAAATAAATTATTATTAAATTAACAGTAAAACTCAACCATGTCTTCAACTGTAGACTAGAGTGATCTAGCCAGATATCCACATGGGGGCATCAGTAGAACCTGTAAGCATCCATGCTGCTACTCAGCTTGTTGATGGGTAAACACAAGTTACAACGTACATATAAGAGCAGTGCCTTCAAAACACTAATTACTATTTCACATGTATAAAACAACAGAAATGTAAATAAGAAAACTTAAGATCATTCCTATTATGTAAATTATCCCTCACAAACAATGTATTATATAATTTTAATCACCTGTGTTATGATAACCACTCTTTGTGCTTTAACACCCAAAACTAAGGTTACTGCAAACAGTTAGAACACACAGGTTGTTAAGTAACCTGTGAGTAGTGACATGCTAAGAGAAAGACATGCTGAAATACTGTGGGTCACGTTTATGGAATTGTATCTTAAGCTTTCGTAGCAGAATTTACTTATACAGAT